CCGCTCTTGCTTGGGCCAAGGGCATCCACATCGCTCTATGGAAGGTGGTACTGTCATTTTTGGCTTACACGTAACACAGCCCTTTGCAAATCACCTTCCTCTCTCATGTATTCCTGACAGAAGTAGGATTTTAAATATTTCATAGGATTCTTTTTCCTCCTGCTTTTCTGACGGATGCCTTGAAAACACTGTCAGATTACGATCTGGGTGGGGGTTTTCAGGATCGATTTCCTTTCCTTCTTGATTGCATGGTGTAGGTTTGCAGTGAGATTTCTATTTTTTTTTTTTTTGGAAGTCTTTTGAACAGATGCCTTCAGCTGATGCAAAGAAAGATTGACTATGATTAGAACTAATCCAGGATGGCAGGATTGGACCCCCACAGTGAAATCTAGAAAAGTGATTGCAGAAGTATTCTGTTTCTCCTTTATTAATTACACAGGAAGTTTCCACAGTAGGCTCATGTAACACAACTGGCCTATGTAATAAGTAGCAGGGCCTGTAATTACAGTCTGTCTTCTGATCCTATCTATGTCCTGACTTTCTAGGCACTGCAGTTCTATTTACATCTGTGCCTTTGCCACCATTTGCATTTTTGATTGGTCACTAAAGGGAGGACAGCACAAATCAAGAGGCCCGTGGAGGTACAGTGGGTCTAAATGAGAGAGTTCTCCACTTTTGCACATATCTGATGGATTTGGGACGGGGAATACAGCACATGTCTAACAGGCACTTTTAGCAGGATGCAGTGAGGGCAGTGGGCTGCATGCCAGCCGTGTATCTTTCAAGATCTTGGAAACTTTGTAGGACTGGAAATTTGACCCTTTTACAGGTCCTAACTAGTGTACTATTCAGTGAGGGAGTTCATATATCAGCATTTCTAGGCTCAGAGCAGCTTTCACAGGATTTGACTTTTCTTTTGAGATCCTGGTCTTTATGGTTATAAAGAGATCCTTCCAGATGCAGCATGAAGAAGGACATAGCTCTTGGCATCATGCAGACAAGCTGAACAGCATAACCCATCACCAGCGTAAATCAAGAGTAACTTGAGTGGAAGGGGGAAGCAGTGATTTAAAGCGATCCAGTGCCAGGCTCACCAGCACCGAACCCTCTGTAGTGCAGTCTCAAGCAATTCAGCTTATTGGGGTGTCAATCCTGAAACCTAACTATGAGTAAGTGGTCTGCTTGTGAAACGTCTGTTCTTGGTCACTCTGGCTGTAATCCGTTTCGAAAGGGGTACTAAATTTGGGCTAAAACTGCAGAATGGTGCCCCTTTTCTTTAAGCCACGCTCCCAGTGCTACATTTGATCCAGAGGAACAAAAGCCATTGTGCAAATACTACACTCTATGCAAAAAAAAAAATAACAAACCACTATGGATACTTTTAATGTCCATAAAACTATTATGCAAATTGTCCCTTTGCTGCAGGATGCACTATTATTTAATCATTTCTGGTCTGACTTTTGTAAAGAGCATGATTATTTTTTAATTTTTTCTAACTCTACTTCTAAGAAAGTTGATGCTTAAAAAAAGAAAAACCCTTACTTTCAAACATGGGTTTTTCAGGCTTCGAAATTAATAATTTCTACACCTGACCCAGTTCCCGCAGCTGCCAAAAAAGAAAAGAGAAAGCTATTTAAATTTCTCATAGAACCATTTATCTTTTAAAATATGCCAAGGCAATTTGAGGTGGGGGTGGAGACTCAGCTATTTATCTCAGCAGCTTGATTTTTCTCTTTATGTTTCTAACTGTCAGGGGGGAAAAAATGGTAGGAAGCTATTCTTGGGCTATTATTGATGTATTGTGTTGCCATTATGCAGGATGTCTGCCTTGCTATGTATGGAAGGACATTAATAATAGCCATCTCCCCCTGCCCCCTCTTTGGGAAGATACAGTTTAACTGGAGCAACCACTGTTTTCAAATTGCTGCTGTCCCTCGCTTCCCCAATTCATTCCCAAAGCAGTTTTGGGAACAGGGCTGGGGGAATAAGGAGACCACCTCTATTCACCGTTTTTCTGCCTACTTCTATGGTTGCTGCAGGTAGGTCATTTCTGTTCTAGGTACCTGCCTTTCCCTTCCTCCTGCAGTGCTGCCCCTTTTTGGGTTTTAAGTTCATCAGTGCAAAAGACCTTTTTCACAGTGTTTTTCTCACAGGGGCTGGTTGGCAGAGCAGGCTGAGCAGCAGACTTCCGATTTGTTATTATCCAGCATATCATCTCCAGAAACGTTGGCTTTCTCACTATTTCCCGTAACTAGGAAAATGTGTTCCCATTCCCAACCCTCCTACCTCAGGTTCAAAAAACTCTTTTTGAAGCCTTAAAAGGTTACTCTGCTTGTTTAAAGATTCAGTTATTTTTTGTTTGGGGGCTTTTTTTGAAAGCAGAGTGCATGGTGAGCAGGAATAGTTTCATGGTTAGGAAATAGCCCCCCTTCAGCCTTCCCCTGAAGTGTGGGAAGTTCTGTATCCGCAGCTCTGCACCAGCAGCCTCACAGCCAGAGAGCAAAGTCGACCTGAAAAGGAGAACAAACTGGCCAGGCCCATTTCATCTGCGAGGAGAGAGAGGTGAAAATAATAAATGTGGCAAAAACTAAAGGACGTAATTGCTCCAATTCTTTTTAAATAGCTAAGTTTCTGCAACTCATGCTAATTTTATTCCATAGAAGCTTTGCTTCTTCAGCACGTCGCATAGTCAGAACCATGTGCTCTTTAATGGTGTCATTATTTTTACTCATTGCTAGTTGTGTCCTTGTCTTGTTCTGGTCCCTATGTGATATAGTGTCATTCTGGCACTTGGGCACTGAATTAAAAGAAAATGAAGAAAAAGCACAACTAAATTTTAAGCTCTAGGAAAGCTCAATTAAATTTTAAGATTAATAATGCAATCAGAAAGTAAATTCCCTAGTTATGATTTAGGGAAGCTTTTCCAAGTTTGAATGCCAGGTGGGAAAAATGTCTTCATTTGGGAAGGTGCTCACATTTGAAAATTAAAGGGAGATGGCCATTCAATGCAGGTTTACATTAGTTTTATTTTCTTTCTTGATGGTGGCTTTTCAGCCAAGAATGAGAAAAAAGCCACCCTCTGGGGTGATCCTTCAACTTGTGTCAGAGCCCAGGTCGTCCTGTGCTAACATTTTGCTCCAGCTAGAGCTTCCCAAACTGTGCAGTACGTATTCCCTTCAGCTATGGGGGTGAGTCCACCTCATACTCTTACCTATGCAGAACTGTTCCCTGTGGTGAATCTGTGTCCAGCCTGGGGGCTTGATCATGTTTTTATTTTTGCTTAACATTTTTGCAGTGCAAGTATTTTGCAAGAAAAAAGGGTGTTTTTCATATGTTTTTTTCTCTGCCATTAGCTATGGGATTGTGTGCAATGATTAGGATTTGAGGAGATGGAGGAGAAGATCCTCTTCTAATTAGGCTGCTTTTGTGCTACTGTTTCATTCAGGGTTGTATGAAATAAGAGCAGTTTGCACTGAAATGCACAGCCGGAGGTTGTGGTTTGTGTTTCAACTATGCTGAGATTTTACCCATTCAAAAGACAGAACTAGGGCCTTTTTAAAAAAAAAAAAAAAAAAATCTGACAGTCTTTTATTGACCGTTCTGTATGGGTAGGAAAGCACTTCCGGTTGGCAAGTGGACATTTTCTGCCTGTCCTCTGAGCCTGATCAAGTTGTTTACTCGATCCATCCAAAATGATCTGCCTAATGCCCAAGTAGCTAAGCGCCTGACAAACATTTAAGTAGCACAACCAGCAAGATGAAGAGTGTGCTATTAACTGGGTTGCCTTTACAGAAAATGTTTTCTACTTTCTTCACCACTATGTGCCTTCTCAGAGACCTGCAGCACTCTTTTATGGGCACCAGAGAAATAACCCTAGTGCAGAGCAGGGACAGGAAACTCTACAAAAGATGCAGAACAGAAGCCAGAGATTAATTCTGAGTCTCTCTTCTCCATTGAGATAGGTAAAGCAAAAACTTATCCCATCAACATTGCTTGTCAACTTGTGTAACACATCTCACTGTCTTGTAGATGACTGTTTGGTAGTGGAGATACCTCAATATATCTCCTGAAAAGTCTTTGTATCATCTTGCCACAGAACTCCAGTGTCATCCCTATCTGGAGACTTTATTTGCTTGATATTGTTTCTTCTATACTTTCTCTTACTCATTTTTTGGTATAATATTAGAAGAGGAAATCCAAAGGTGAACCAGAGGCGGTTGTTTAGTACTACTCAATATGAATGTAATCTGAGCTGATGTGCTCTCACTTTTCAGTCCCCAAAATCATGCTTTAGGGAAGCTGTTTTTCCAGATGCAGTAAGAGAATTGCCAGGTTTGTCCAAACTGGGGCCTGGATGGCTTTGCACCTGATTCTCCACCATTTCATATTCTGCTGTCCCTCTAGAGAGTGAGTATTGCAAAACTTTGGGCAGAACAAAGTTATGCCTGGGTTCTTTTGGTCTTGCTAGAAAAGGTCTGCCTGGATTCACCTTCTCTAATGGTCTTGTAGCATCCTAAAACCATGGCTTGTATTCTGGGCTACCACAGAGACAGAGGCCAGTCTCCAGGTGCCCGTTTTTTCAAATCCATTTTTTTTCGTATGAGAAACCAGGAGCACTGATTCAGCAGTTTGGGTGCAGTGCTTTCCAACTCAGAACAAACTGCAGAGGTCCGTAGTGTTTCAGAGCCTAATCTCTAATGCTGGCTTTATTTTATTTACAAGAGGGTCATAACCACATATGTCATTCCAGAAGGAAGATTCTTCTTGGCTACATGCCTCTTCTGTGGCCATGGCAAAGCTCCCCAGAGCTGGGAGAGCTGCTTGGTTCTTGTATAGTGCAAGGAGGGAGTGCACCCAGAAACATTTGTCCTCTGAAGCTGCTATGCTTTGGCCTATCCCAACCAACTGAAGATATGTCTACTCTAGGGTTTGTTGGTGATCTTGTCTACTAGGTGTGTATTAATTCATGGTGGAAGATTAGGCCAGGTTTGAGGTGGTATTTCAGCTTTATGGTGGTAGTTGGTTTAGCCTTTGAGATAAAGAAGGTTTGGCATTATTTCTTTCTTGCAGTTGGAAGGGAAGCATGACTGGTTCCCTTGTTCTGCACCAGCAGATAGAGGCTCTCAGTGGTGTGGGATGCGTCTTCCTTTTAAATGTGAATCACTAGCCTAGTTATCTGGGCAAGAATGGGGCATAAAGGAGACATTCCCTGTACGAGGGATGCCTTCTACCGCAAACTCCATGCCCTCAAATCCTAATGAAGTAACATTACTTGAGCTTTTAGGACTGGTCTCCTACCTGTCAGAACTTGGGGGTACCCGAGTTTTACCCCTTGCTGAGCACAAGCACTACCCAAGTCTGTTAGGGGCCCGATCCTTCTGTCATCAGAGTTTTCCTGAATCCTGTGAGTTGCTGAGTGTGCCTCCTGGGAGGTGCTGGATACCCTCCCTTCTCACCAAACTCATTAGGCCACTTGTCACCCACCCTAACTACTTCTACAGGGCTTTGAGGCGCTCAGGAAACGCAGTCAGCACCTTACAGGATTGGTCCACTAGGTAATAAATGAAGTTTTTTCTCTGGTAACTTTTGTGCATGAATTGAAAACCATTTATTCCAATTTGTTCTGAGGACAGATGCAGCATATACACATTTTCTATATTTATAAATATATATAGATATATATATTTTGTTCTCAGCTAGTTACCTCCTCTAAACTGCAATTTTCAGAGCAACCGGCATATATTTTTTATTCAACACATAAAATGACTTTTTACAGTAAGAGAATGAAAGCTGTTTTAAGCATGTTTTCTGTATTTTTATTATGCATTATCCAATTATATTGAGATGTATTTTCCTCTTTGCTCTGCTCTTTCAGTTGTTATCCTTATTTTATCAGTTATGCTTTTCTAATGTTTTGTAAGGGAAAATAAATATGCAAAATCGCCAGATGCCTTTTTTCTTTGCAGAAGAAATATCACAAATGCTTTTTTATTACATTTTACCAATCCAATAAACTTCTTATAAATTTCATTTTTGTTTGCTAGTGTGTGAAATTATTTTTCTCGAGTCAAATGGTATTTACTTTCTCCAAACCGCCACTTGCAATTATGCTTCATATCCTCTGTCTTTCTCTTTGAGGTTCAAAATTTCTCTGTGTGGCTCCTCAACATATTTAATTCGAGAGCTTCTTGCACTGTTGGGTGAAGCCAGGATGTCAGAAAAGTGTCACAAGAGAGGCCAACTGCTGCTTGTATTAGCCAGCTCTTGACAAATTTCGTGCTGTGCTCAAAAATGTCCATCTTTGCAGTTGAGAGCACTCCATTCCTTAGCCTTGAGAAAATCTGCAGAGGTAAGTTATACATCCTGTGGGTACTGGAAGTTGGTCACAAGTATTACGAAGAGTAAGTGGTGGTTGGCTGACACAGAGCCAAGCACCTTGCTTCACAGCTGAAGGGAAGAGCAGTATTTATGCTATTATGTGAAAGGTGGAAAGAAGTGTGGTATGCAGACCTAAACTCTTAGGAAGTTACTTCTGGTATGTCACTGAAATAAATAATCTGGATTGTTCTCAGTTCCCAGTTCAGTTTGATCTGCTTCAGGAATGCTGTAGATGATCATGTAGCCTTCACCTCTCTGGTCAGAGAAGATGACATGGCCTGGCATCCAACCATCATTTGTGGCTGAGCTAAATTGCAGCTTCCGGGACATACATGCTTCAAGTCATAGCAAATCCATCAGGTAAGTTTGCCCAATGACTGTTTCCTTTGCTCTTAAGTACCTGCACGCTGCTTTTAATTTCTATTTCTTTATTCACTCTATCCTTGGAGCTTTTATGAAAGGCCTCTACTCTCACAAGTCTTCTCTTGTGCAGATCCATAAAGCCTGTCTTGAAGGTGGGATTCATTTCAATCAACTTCAGCAGTCAGAAGATAGCTTTGCTGTCTAAGATGGTCAACTCTGTAGTCGGTGTGATGATTTGTCATCCTTTCTTTAAGTGAATGTCCGAGACAGGTTTGATTGTTTGCTCTGTGAAGGATTCTGTCCATTCTGTGTCTTTGGGGATTAACTAACTGAGATGATTACTGCCTTCCATCCATATCAGAGAAAGTAGTTTTCTTAACAGAGTTCTGAAAAGACTGTAGAAAGATCCCAAGGCATAAAATACAACTAAATCATTCACCTGTCCCTCTTAATGGAATTTTGCCTGGGGGAACCAGTTCTTCCCCTTGAGGGCATCCAAAGGTGGGGCTCCCACATCCTTTGTTGACAGTCCCTTCCAGAGCTGTGTTGTCTTCACCATTGCGCAGCTTTCCCTAGGAAGCAGGTGGAATATTCTTGGCTACAGATTAAGTCCTGTATTTCTCTATTGAACTTGAAGGACTACTTCAGTAGTCTGTGTATACTCAGAGATCCTCCGTCAGCCATGGAAGGAGGTGCAAATAAGAGCTTCACTCCCAGCTCCTCCTCCCCTTCCCAGGGGACCTTTAGGAAGGGCTTGTGTTCTCCCTCAGGAAAGGACAAATTCTGCAGCGTGTTCCTGCAGGACATGGGAGTTTGAAAGCCATTGTCTTGGCAGTAAAGGGAGTGGGATATTGTAGCCTTTCAAGTCAATTCAAACTACCGTATAGTTTTTCAAACTCAGTATTATTACTTCCGTTATAGCTCAAGGTATTTTTTTTCCTAAACTTACTACAATGGAAAAGTTCCAGAGATATGTTGTCCACGCGCAAATCAAAATGCATTAGCAGGCCAAGGGCCAGAGGCAAGGGCAAGGGCAGGGGAGCTATTAATTTGATAGTTTGACGCTACTTTTTTTGCAGTCTAAGGCAATGACAATGCTTTGAAGAGAATGAAAGTTTTGGAAGCAAAGCATATCTAAAACTCTGGAGTGTTAGGATGGGTTGGAGGGGGTGTAGATGACTTGGCAGCCTCACACATGGTTCCATTGATGATGTTCTTGGTTGAATGATGGAGCTTCATACAG